CTAGTAATTGTTAATCTTGGTTTAGTCCCTTTAATGGATGTAGTAGTTGTTAGTCTTGTTTGGTTCAGTAGTTGTTGACCTTGCTTCAGTCCTCTTAATACATCTAGTAGTTGTTAATATTGGTTCAATCCTTTTAATGTATCTAGTAGTTGTTAATCTTGGTTCAGTCCTCTTATGAAGGTAACTAGTCTATGAATTGTCTGCAAACACAGCTTGTGCAACAGGCGAGCTGAGGCTCTATTGTAAAGCAATCAAATGCCAACCAAGTGAAGCTCACGAGCAATAGAATACAACAGATTGCAATTAGAACATGAAATAACTATTCCATCGAGTGCACGAGAAGTAATTCTTTCTCTTACTCACTTACTGTTGATTACTACAGCAGTTTTCAAGCAAACACCATGTTCGGTTCAAATCCTATTTGACTATAGCTTTTAGTTTTGAAGGAAAAATTCCTAAACAGCTAGTATAGTTTTTTAAATCATATATATATATAATCTTGCTTTTGTAACCCTTACCTATAGATACTCACTGCCGCCACAGTTTCGTATCATCTTTTCAATTTTAAGTACCAATTTATAATTAAGCCATTCTGAATTACTCGAACTATTAATACAACTGTATAGAATGAATAGAGAGAGACGAGATTCTATGTATTTCATGATTATACAGAACTAAATTTCTATATGCTATAATTCGAACCGAAACCTTTATTAATGAGAATGATATCATGTTCCATCGGTAAAATAATTTATTCGACTTAACTAGAATGAATTAAGCTCATGTTAAATCTGTATTACAATTCGTTGGATCTTTACTGGAGTCATTTATTTATTGCTAAATAGTTTTACCATGGAAAGGGAAACCCTAAGCCAAACAGTTTGAGACAAACAGTTTGAGTTTGACAGCCATTTCAATTTTACTGCCTTGATATGACGAATGAGGGCTCAACTGAACTAGGATATTGGTAGCAAAATAAGCGAAACCGACGCAAACGAAAGTGACGTTTAATGCCGCGCGTAGCGTGGGTATCATCATATCGGATGGGCAGTTCGTGTACTACGAATCAAAATGTTGGAAAGAGACGTACCTCATATATAGCATTACATTTTAAGCTCGATTATCTTTGCTAGTTATAATATCTAAGCTGAGAAACGGTTATACTACACCTAAAACGTCATAATATCTAAGCTGAAAAACGGTTATACTACACCTAAAACGTCATAATATCTAAGCTAAAAAACGGTTATACTACACCTAAAACGTTATAATATCTAAGCTGAAAAACGGTTATACTACATCTAAAACGTCATAATATCTAAGCTAAAAAACGGGTATACTACACCTAAAACGTCATAATATCTATGCTGAAAAACGGTTATACTACACCTAAACCGTGATAATATTTCTTACAAATTGATAAACTACAGTTGAGATAAATATTTCAAGCGAAATATTTTGACATATTTGATATTCGTCAGTGTTACAAATATTCATTCTGTCTTTTCTTCTGTAACGTTTCGCTCTTTTTCTTGGTATCCGTGCCTTTTACATTTCTTGTCGGTTTGTTTGTTTGTTATTAAACACAAAGTTACACAATGGGCTTTCTGTACTGTGCCCATCGCGGATATCGATACGCAATTTTTAGCGTTATAACTCAAATTTTTGGTTAGTACTCACGAATCGTATAAGTGCAAATCACAAGAGAATTTTAACACCTATATCAGTATATTAGATGCTAGCCAATAGAGATATCCTGAATAGATATAAAGTCCGTTACATTTTGTTTTGTTTGTTTATTAGTTAAATTTTGCGCAAAGCTATTCGTGGAGTTTTTGCACCACCCATTCCTAGTTTTGAAGTGATAGACTAGGAAGAGAGCTAGTCAACATACCAACTGCCAACTCGAGGGCTACTCTAATTGAATTGTGAGATTTTGTCGCTACTCTTATAACACACCTACGGCCCCAAAGTGCGGATTCTTTTTTCCCCTGTGGTAAGGGGACACGAACCACGGAACTTCGGATCCACAGTCCAGTACGCTAACTAATGGGTGGCGTTC